CTCCCTCTAACTAGCTCACGGATACAATTACATATCAGTAAAACCAGATAATTTTTCGAATGAAAGGTCTCACACTACAACGGTTAGACTCCAAAGAGATACACAATAGAGTTAAAACGTAACCTTATAAAAGTATTTAGTTCCCATAATGTGTAACTTAGCATATTCACTTACTAGTTAGCTGAAGTTAGTAAGAACTCCTAAAAGCACAAAGCAAGTAACATTCGAACATCAAGTAACCAGAACCAAGCATTACCTAATCAGACCACCCTATCACTGACTAATCAGTACTGGCATGCAAGTCTACAAGCTCATACAACAGGCATACAAAGGCATCTCTCCTAGAATTCTATCATGCAAAACACTGCATATCCTTAGCCTTAACTAGCATGTGATTCACAGATTCACAGATCAAATCATATCAGATTAGATGTATGGGTAATTTGGGAAAACTTACTTGAGCTTGGCTGATTGCATGTACCACACCCTTTCTTGTCTCAGAAAAACTCTTTTCTAAGAAAAATATTTCTCTTTGAAAAACTTTACCAAATCATCAGTTTAAGTTCAGATATACCCGAGAGTATGTCTGAATCCCTCAAACTAAGGCTCTGATACCAACTTGAAACGTCCCAAAAATACGACCTAAAAATTTCATTTTTACTTTAAAAAAATAAGTATTCCAAAAACAACATCAATACAATCCCAATAAAATAAGTGTATCAAACGTTATCTTGAATCTGAGTAAAACACAAATAGCAGAACTAGGTGGTGTGTGCTCTGCAATCATCTCGAGCCCTTCCCTTTGGAACTGAAGTACCTGAAAAATAAACTGAAAACCATAAGCACAAAGCTTAGTGAGTTCCCCAAACTACCACATATCATACATAATAAATCACATACTAGGCCCCCACCCTCCATCGGACCCCGCCCGGTATCGATTCCCACTCGGCTTTGGGCCACGCCCGGCATCGAGCCCCGCTCGGTATACAGATCTGTTATACTTACGCCCCGCTTGACATCGGGCCCCGCCCACCATACACATAGATAAATATCGCATAATCATACTAACATATAAAATGATCATAAAATAATAACCTACGATACAGTCATCGGCCCTCGCCCGACATTGAACCCCGTCCGCTATAAATAGAAGCACATATCACATGCAAGGGTCACACAGACTCCTAGAATATATAACAAGGGTCGGCATTGGTGCATTAGACCCACTAAACCCAGTGAGGAAACTCACCTCAATCGACAGATAAAAGATCCTACACTCGCTGCTGCTGCGAACCGGCTCCTCGAACTGAACTAAACAAACCCAATCTAAACTTAATTAATATCCATGTCTAAACCCAATCACTAGGCCCAATAATGGACCAACTAATCAGGCCCACTAAGGCCTATTACACAACCCTAGGCCAACAAATAAGTCTAAACCTTAATGAAAGTCCTCAGCCCAGCAATAGTCCAATAGCACAAAACTCAGTCAAAGCCCCTAGTTCAAAAGTCAAACGAAGAACAAGACCAAACTCCACTGCCCGGCACTACGTTGGGCGTAAACCCGGTACGCCCCACGTACTGGTTCGCTTGGTTTGGATCAGTGACGCGTACACGTACTCACGGCGTACACGACCATTCAAGCAAACTTGATTTAAGCACTTAGTGCTTAAGACCAGAAGTCCACACCACAGATCTAACCCCTAATAAGCGTCTAGAACTATAAAGTCACTGACTAGGTGACTTTGCATTCCCCAAAAGGACCCAACATCAAGATATAGCACTTTATTTTCACTAAACCCATATAAACTAGAGTTAAGCTTCTAATGAACAAGGTCATAGCTTTTTACCTCAAACAAGCTGGAAATAGAGTAGAGAGTCAGGATCTACAAGCTCTTCCTTGATCCACAACCTTGCACCAAACTCCTTCTTCTTGATTATGAAACAAAACACACCAAGATGCACACAATGAGCTCAAAAACACAATAGAACGGTCTAGGGTTTCGAAATGAGTTTATAAGGTCAGTGGAGGCTGAGAAATGAGGGTAACATGAGCCATAAGTGTGATTATATAATGTCCAAGCCCCATAATTTAGGGTTTAAGTCAGACACATTATGTTGGGCGTAGTTTGATGTACGTTGGGCGTAGTGCCTTAGTCACCTGCGTTCATTAAACCCATTACGATGGGCGTCATGAGTCCAGACACGCGTTTCTTGTAACAAGCACATGGGACCATTTTGCAAATAAAGTTAACTCAAGGGGTTAAGTATAATACCTGAAAATCATAATGTTACAAGGAGAGAGGAGATATGAGGGAAATTTAGTTCCTATGCTTGTAGGTAATCTAGTGAACGGAAATTACAAGCCAATGGGTCATATTTATAGTTTAGGTAACTTGCAGGCAAAGCAAAATTTGAACTAATTAAATAATAAATTTAATCATAGTTCAAATTCTTTCCTTTTATGTAACCGAGAGGCTTCCAGAAACCCTAGGAAACCCTCCGAAGCCTTCCATACCATGGAGGGTTCTAGAATTGCTTCTTTTGTTTAGCTATTGAACAATTACAATTCACCCTTTTACCTTTAATTAATTCCAATTTATCCCAAATTAATTCCAGGTTAATTCTGATTAATAATTAATCAATTTTAATTGATTTCACATTAATTTATTTATCATATAAATTAACAAATCAATTATTTAACAATTGATCTCATATTAATTTATTAATCACATAATAAATCAACAATTCAACTATCAATTTACAATTAATATATTAATCACATAATATATTAAAAAATAATTTTCCCATAATTTCCAATTAGTTTATTAATCATATTATATTCTAATAAATTATACTTATATCTCCTAATATCATTTCTAGCTATTTCTGGTTATGAGGGCAACCCAAAAGGACTTTACTTTTAACTACAAGAGTATACTAATTTAGTTATGAGCTTAGACACCTTCATCCAACATGGTGAAGGTGAAATTGCAGAACCGTAAGGGTTCTGAGTGGACTTAGGAGCCCGAGGAGGAGTTCTGCAAACACTACCTCAAGTTAGTTTCAGCAACAGATTTCGAGGACGAAATCTGATTCAAGTGGTGGGAGGGATTCTAATACATGAGTTCCCGGTATGTATCCATCTCCGATAAAATGATAAAATATGTTACATTCTTAATTTTAGAGAGGCATGGGGAGCTCTATATGGATGTGGCGCACCCAACCTTTGGGTTGATGTCATTTTCTAGGGTTTTGGGCCTATTTAAGGGGTACAAACCCATACGAGTTTCATTATTCACAGCCTCCATCATTCTCTAAACGTTCCTTATGAAACTCTTCCCTTCATTGAAGAGTTTTTGAGCTTATTCCCTCTCCTACATCCATTCATGGTATTATCTTGTATTCTTAAGTGAAGGTAAAAAAGAAAGATTGATCAATGGAGTGTTGCATCTGAAGAAATCAACCTTCTTATCCCTTATAGACCTTTTTAAGTTCAAAAGATTCAATCTTTATTTTATTTCATCCATAGATCTAGGATTTGGTTGAGTTTTTGGTCCATTTTAATGAGTTTTGGTTCCTTTGAGGCTTGTTCCTTGGAGTTTGAGGAACTCTTGAGCTTTTGACTCATGTTTGGTTCCAGATCCCATCATTTGATGATGTAAAGAATGCATTCAAGAGCTCTATTTGCTCCATGCATGAAGATGAGTGCATTTTGGGCACATATAAGACTTAGGGTTTTAGATCTTCTTGTTTTAGGCCATCCAAATGGATAAATTTGGAAACTTTATCCATTAAGACACTAAGAGAATTCAGATTTGAGATTTGGGGTTTTTAACATAATAGATTAAGTCATTTATAAAGTGAATTTGGCTAGGGACGCGGGACGCATCTAGTAAAATTGACTATTTTGTCTTTTCTGGGCATGTGGTGCTTGTATTGGGGCGTAGAGCGCCCTTGACCCAGCCCGTTGACTTTTTTTTTCTTGACATTTTAACCAAGTTTCACTAATGGTAAAACTTGTTGGGGTTGAGTTATAGGTTACATATAGACCTCTATTTTGGTTCTAGGTGGTTTGTGTTAGCTGTTTATCTTTCTGAGACTGTGACTGCGGTTGATAGCTTCAAGTGAGTTATCTCACTATACTATGTGTTACAGTGTATATCCTTGTATGATAGAGTATAAGAACTATTAGTGTAGAGTTGTATGACTAGTCTAGTATAGTCTTCTCCATTATTAATTGTATGTTTATATGATTTGTTCATATGTCTGTTTGAGGGTTTGACGGCGAACGATGAGGGTTGAGAGCCTATAGACTCGTGTTGGAAACGGAATGTCCATGTTATTCGTGAAACGACGGGAGGTCGTGAGCACTATTGTTTGTATGCATTGTTTATGTATTGTTGATATATGATATTTTGGGGAATTCACTAAGTTTTGTGCTTATAATTGTGGAATAAATGTTTTTTAGGATGTGTTTCTGAAAGTGGGAAAGCTCCAGCTTGATCATGACGGATGCGCATCTCCTATGTTTATGACTTTAGACTTACGCTACTTTTGATATTCTAATACTTTGTTTTACATGATTATGGTATTTTATGGTTAAAACAAATTGGTACTTCTTCTTTATGGAAAAATAGTTGTTTTATTTTTTCTTTTAAAAAGAATATTTTAATTTGAAATTTGAAACGTTACTCCATATGTTTCCGTTAAACCTCTTAAACCTTCCAAATGCATCTAGATCTTCAAATATTGATTACATTTGTGGATTTCAATACGATTTTGTGATAGAATTTGCTTTTTTTATATATATATATATTATTATGACATTTCTTTGTAGAGGAGAACTATCTTTGGAATGAACAATTGAACTGGTCATCTCCAACCAAGAAGAGGGATACCGGCAAAAAGGGAGAGTGGGAGTCTTTAGGAGAAGATAACAAAGGTGGATCAAAAACATTCATATACCATGATAATTGGTATAATTCTTATAATTTCAAGGATGGAAGTGTACGAAATATATACATGCGAGATCCGGCCTACGGCCGGCTATGGCTCAAAAATAATACAACAATAATAATAGTGTAACATAAGAATCATGAGAAACAATTATGTGATATTTGCGGTTGAAGACTACGGTGAAAAGAATCAAGTACTATAAGGTAGAACTACACAAGGACAATACCACCATTTTCAAAGACATGGAACGGTTGAAATTTTTCATAACTTGTCTCCTTTGTTTTTTCATACTATCCTTGGAAGCAAAAGGGATCTAAACTTGTAATCCAACGCAATATTCCCATTTGGCATCATCATGATCTGAAAAACATGAACAAAATGACATTAATACATAGAAAAAAAAAGGTTATTGGCAATGAGGACAATTTGATAATAGAATTTACCTTTAATATATGGTATCTCCTATGGATTCCTGCATAAGAATAGATATAAAGGTTAAAGAATATAGAATGCTCAGGGCGTTTGACAATAACCAAAAACTGTACATGACGAATTTTCAGATGTACTTACATCTACATACCTCTTGTAATCTTGTTTGATCTTTATAAAGGAGTTGGTGGCTTCCCCTGCATACTATGAGCCAAGACTTGATTCTGTTTCTTTTAGCTCAAGAGTAGCCGAATATCCCTTGATGAAACGAAAATCTGTTATTGCTCCACATCTTTCGATTCTCAAAGTATCCAATAATGGCAAACAAAAATCCTTCTTCCCTAAGCAAAACCCTCTAAGACTTGGAAGTTCATCAAGTATTAAGGACTTTAGATGAGGTAACATAATTTCATTCATTTTTCTGAGAGATTTTTCCTCTTTTTCTACAACATTTTCATCCTTAACGACTACCTGCATATTGTTGCAGCAACTTATATGTAGCTCTTGGAGTTGCAAGAGACTACCAATCATGGAACTAGTAAAAAGGTGTTCTAACAAATGACAATGAGAAATAGAGACTCTTTTTAGGTTTGGAAACTCAAATATGGTCCATTGATTGCTCTTCCATATATACCGGAGATTTTGTAGAAACACTAACTCCACTTTTGTCAGGTTTGGAAGATTCACAACAGTTTGTGATTCACCAGAACCACTATTTGTTCCTTCCAATGCTTCAAATACCTCCTCTACCAAATTACAGCTCCATACATGAATCTCTTTCACCATTTGCAGTTTTTGCAACACACTCCATGGAATAATCTTTTTGATAGATACATCATTTTCCAGATGTATTTTGTTCTCATCATGAACAGAGAGAGGTATCACTTCCGAAGTATTGCCTAAACTCCGTAATGGGGTCTAAAATGCCAAAAATAGAAAACGAAAGGCATATGTTAGCGGTGTAGTCGATCCTAGTTCCAACAGATTTACACATGGCTTCATTCTATGTAAAGCAACATATGCAAGTAGAGAAAGTCTAAATGACCTACATATATACAACTTTTTTAGATAGATAGGGTAAACCTCACACGAACCAACTTTTGTTGTCTCTAGAAAAACATGGTGCCCACACTAGATAATTAAGGAATGAAAACACTCTACATGACCTTTACAGGCCCTTATGGGCCCACTAAAGTAACAAAATATATTTGGTGCAATTGTGTCCAAGTTTATATTATTACAACAAACACTACTGTTTGTTTAAATTTCTAAAATTTAATGCAAGGACAAGTAAGAATGGGACTTTAAGAATCCGTTACTAGAAATAATATGTAAAGACATTAAAGCCTACTGCAATAACTATATCCAATTCCTATAAGCTCATGGGGTAATGCATGGACAATCTTACCTCCGCCTAGGGTAGCAAGGAAGAACTGAAAGAGTAAGAATTTAAAAAATGAAGATCAAATTAGTTGATTATAATTATAAAAGATGATAATTAACTCCAACTAAAAGCTTCTGTTGGGTTACTATTTATTGATCTCATCAAGCAAGTTAGATATGTAAGGTTTGTTTTGTACCCTTTGCCATTCGAAATTGATTCAAGTGACACACAAACTAGTGTAAATATGTTAAATATTTTTAGTGGGCATGATTTCTCAATTAGATGATGCGGAAAAACAAAAAATAAAAATTATACCTGATGAAAGTTAAGGTCGCATTCATCAATATCTTTGCCTAAGCTTCTTTGTATGGACTTGAGTTGTGGAGCCATCGACCTACCACGTGTGAACACCGTCATTTCTGGGCAATCACGGATTGTAACATTATCCAAAAAAGGCCACCGGAACTCATTCATCCCCAAGAAGAAACCCTGGAGGTACGGTAGATTGACCAGGGCAATGGACTTGAGACGAGGAAAGACCACAACATTAGATTCTGTTGTTTTCTCTCCATGTTCTTCCTTTATAATCACTTCCATTTCCTTGCAATCTTCTATCATTAACTCTTCGAGTTGTATGAGGCTTCCAAGTGCCGAAAATGTGAATATATGCTCCACAAGGTCACAATCTTTAATTTTCAATTTCTTCAGCTTGGGAAGTTGAAGCAGGATAACATTATTTAGTCTTTGTGTACCACCATTTCCTTCAAATACCTCCTTCACCAACTTGCAAGACTCTATTTTCAACACTTCAAGCTTTTGCATATGTCTTAGTGCATAATACGGAATCACACTTGACAATGAATCACACTCTACTATACTTATCTCTCTAGGGTATTGGCATAAGGACCAAGAAACACCATCTACCTAGTAAAGGAACAACCGGTGTATAATTCAATTATATAACTTACAGAGCTCAAATATTGTTTGTTACACACATATACAATACTACTTTATATGTAACATTACATACTATATAATGAGACGAATAAAATGTAAAATTTTAATCAGTAAAAGAAAGTTGAGGGACTCCATCGATAAAGTGGTAAAAGGGCATAGAACTTTTATGTGTTGTCTTAAAAGAAAGTTGAGGGACTCCTTCTATCTCCTCATCCTCTACAATGTACATGTTGAGTGGGAATGTGTAATTCTTGTTTTTTGGGATTGACTAGTTTTGGTTTCACTTTTGATTACCATACAGACACATAAAGCTTCTGAAATAGAGCACTACAACTTTGATCAAGAACAAAAGTTCAAGACTTATGTGTCTGGTATGTATCTTTTTGTCTGCAGTATAATTTTGTAGTTAACTTGATCTATTCATCTGTTTCATTTTCCCATAATTTCTTCTCAGTCACATGTGTAGGCATTGAACATAGAAAAGCAAATAATCATAACTTTTTTGACTATCTTGATCCATATAGATAAATTACAGTTCTATCTTAGATGGATAATTTGTATTTCTTTTATGATTGTATGTGCAAAATCTATCATTTAGATTGTGAGTTATGACACTTCTATTGTAATTTTTATTAGTTGTATGCTATTTTGTCAATTGTGGATCCAATTGTTTTTACATATTTTTATATGTTGATGATTTTTTTGTCTTTTACAATTCTTATTCAAAACACTCATCAAACGATCATTTTCATTTAGTCCCAAATTTTATATGTTGATGCTTTTTTGTCTTTCATAATTTGTGATAGATGGGAGAAATGATTTAGTATTCCTATTATCATAACATGAAGTATTCCTTTGGTTTCTTATTTATTCAGCTGCAGATGAACTGATTGACCATTAAAAAAATGAAAAGGACAAATTAGATGCACAAGTCAGTGAGTTGAGACACGAATTGGCCTCAATCAGGTAACGACTGTTCCAGGGGTATTAACGTAATTTTTTGATATTCTTATCATTAAATTAATTAATTCCTTTATTCCCAGATCTGCCAAGTGAGAAGAGCAAGAAAAGTATGAACACATGCTTTTAAAAGAGAACCTGAAAGTAAACCCTAATTTTACTTTTTAGTTACTTGTTTGATTAGAGTACTCCCTAAAGTAGATTCCCATTAGTCTTGTTTCTATAGTGTCACATATTGATGCAACCAATGTTGTTTGCCCTTTTTTTCTAGGATAAATTGCAAGAGAAAAATGGATATAGAAAAAGAAATTGATAAGTTGTTGAATAGGTAGAAAACATACCTTGGATTCATTGGAAACGGTGGTCCTTGTAGTGGTATTATTGGAAGATGATTCATTGCTCCTATGCTTGGCACCACCACCACCAATATACTTGAGATTGCGTAGGCAAGCAAGAGTGAGAAAATCAAGATACGGAAACAAAGTGGTGCTTTTGGGGATAGATCTAGTGTCTTCTTCATCTTCACCATCTCTATTTGAAACAACTTCTTCAATAGCATCACAAATTGCTATGTTGACATTCTTTAGGTTTGAAAGAAGTTTTGCCATGAGAGGTGAAAACAAATACTTAATGCTTGCGCATGAACTCATGTGTATGGTTGTGAGGTTGTGGAATGAGGGTTCTGATTTTTGTTCTTGAAGGATTAAAAATTTATTCCAATTACACTTCCACACATGATTCATGTTGTCCATATGCCTTATATCCAATTCCTTGAGGTAGGGAAGTAGTTGTTGATTATCGTGAGTTGTTACCGATTCTCTACTTCTTGGCTCAATCTCAAACACCACCTCCACTTCATTAAAATTCCACAGCTTAAGTTGATGTAGGTTAGGAAAAGAATGTACGAGATAGGAAGGAAATACAACATTAGGAATGCAGTCACCGACTTTTGATGTTTCTTCATTTGATATAACAAAATCTACACATGTATCCCAAGAACAAAGGTAATTAGTAACTTTCAGTTTTAAATGTGAGAAAGATTGTTTTGATTCTAAATAATTTTTCAAAAAGTATTTGGAAACAATGAAAATATCCCATGGGAAGTTTGAATTCTCCATTCCTAGTAATAACTTTTTTTGTTTGTACAATTGGCTCCCATGTAACAAAAGGATTTAGGGATGAAACAAATGGAAACCATTTTAAATATATAAAAAATTAAGATGTGGTAAATCCATACCTCTTGCTCTTGTTGGCTACTCTCCATCAAATCATTGTTTCTCCTATTTTCTCCGTTATTATTTATCCAGATCTCCTTAAGTGCTTGCAGATCAAAATTGGTGGTGGTAGGTGTGAATACATTTCTAAAGCTCTTACATTTTGTGATCTCTATGTATTCAACAGCTTGAAAGCCACCGATGAGGAGACCAGAGCTATTTGCACCTTTTATCCTCCATAACTCTCTTAGTTTTCCTAATTGATTCACTTCAATGCTTCTCAGGCTGCTTTTGCTGCTGCCTTCTCCAATCCCACCAGCACTATCCAAGTTGATGTTGAATAACACTTCAATGGAACCACATCTCCGTACTTGAAGCTCTTCAAGATTATCCAACAATGGCAAGGGATTGCACGGAAAAAGATTCACAAGATTATCACAATCGGTTACTTCAATAGCTCTCAACAACGAAACATTAAAATTCTCATTAGTACTCAATTCACAAGGCCATATCTCCTTCAAATTCTCCATATGACGAATATGCAGTTTCTCCAACTTAGGAATCACAACCTGCAAAATAATCAAACTTAATTTAGCCAATCAAATCTAATTACAATTTTTTTTTTGTCAGAGAGTTTCTCTGGTTCGAAAATTTTTCGAAACTTGTAACTAAAAATGATTGTTTGAATTGTATCAACAGAAAATAAAGTGTTTACCGATTCCCTCAACAAACAAGATGTTGCCAACTCATTCTTCGGATAAATGCTTGTGAAATTTGGAATGGTGGCAAGTCCCAACTCCAAGAGTTGTGGTAGCTCAATTATGTTGGCGTTACAGCACAAGCCCAATAGATTTGGTAGACAAATTAAAGATAGAAACTTCAACTTGGGGAATGTAATTGTCTCTTCTACACCATTCTCACTATGTATGAGTTCTTCCATATTATCGCATGAGTAAACTTCGAGATGCTCAAGATTTTTCAAATCTTTTGCCACAGCAAGTGTGAAAAGGTATCTCAACCCCACACACTCGGAAATGACAAGGACTCTTACATTGTAGAATGAAGAGAATCGAGAAGGATGTAAGGACTTCACCTCAATATCTCCAAGATCATTCATATCATCCACACTTAAACAGAGCATATCCGTTTTCTCAAACAACTCATTCATTCTAGATCCCAATAGTTCTCTTTTGTTGGTAACCAACTGTAATGTGTTTTCAAACGAATGTTTGCTCTTTCTGAATGCCCCTTTCAAAGAACGTCCCACTGAAATCTTAAATTGTTCAAGATTATCGAATGAAATATTCTTCGGCTGAGCACTATTTTGAAAGAACTCAAATTCTAATACGGAAATGTTTTCTAAACGTTCTTCCATCTCATTGTAGTTATCATCCATGAAGCTAATGGTCTTGCGATCATCAACTTTCACAAAAAACGAATCTCGATCATCAACTCTCATATAGAGCTCTTCAAGTTTGACCAAATTTCTAAAGACACCATTAGCTATACAGAGACCAACACAATTTGTCAAATCCAGGAGCCTTAGCTTCTTCAGATTTCCAATTGTGGAGGGTAACAATTTAATGGCAGAATTAGCAACGCTGAGCACCTCGAGATTCAAAAGATTTCCAATCGAAGAGCAATCAAACATCAATGAGCAGTGATGTAGATGAAGCACTCGAACATTGGAGCATTGAAGTGATTGTGGAAGAAATGGCTGCTTCATGTTATCATATGATATAACCTGAAGGTTTTCCATTTCTCCATAAAAGCCTTCAGGAAACCTCAGTGACTCGTCTCCATCCATTAATTTCAGGATCGAGAGGTTTGGAAACGTGAGGTCTTCAGGAAACGCAGACATACCTTTGCATGTTAATGAAATTCTTTTGCACAAGCTGTTCATATCATTTGCAGTTTCAGGCCACCATGGCATATCGCCATGGTTGACAATTGATGCATGCTCGACTTCAGAAAACATGTTCAAAACAAAAGAACGCACCAGATTGTGCATCCTGACAACCCCTACATCATCACTTTCGATCAACAAGTTGGCATGCACGAGCTGCTCAATGCATGTGTACAGCCTAGTTCTTGCATGTCTAATAGTATACACTTGGTTAAATATTTTCAATCCCCATCCATACCTCACCAAGTCTTCGGTAGGGATATCAAAGTCTTCAGGAAACAAACCACAAAGCAAAAAAATGGACTTAGTCTCCTCGTCTTTGATATAGTAGTAGCTCATTTTTAAAGATCCAGCCACAACATTGTCAATGTGATGGTGCTCTAAACGAGCAAGTGTATCTCGCCATATGTGCTTGCTTTTATTTCTAAGAGTACCGGCCATGATTTTGATGGCTAAGGGTAAACCACCACACTTCCCTACAATGGCTTCTCCTATCTTACTGAGCTCGGGATCAGCATCATAAGAAATTTCTGCATATCGGTGGAACAAACTATGTGCTTCCTCTTCTGTTAAGATGTTGATGTTGAGGATTGAACTAGCTCCCATCATAATGCATACATTTTTGTCGCGTGATGTCAGCAAGACCTTGAAGTTGACTCCTTGATTTGGCAAAAGACTTAAACCAAGATCATGCAGATCAACAGGCTCCCATACATCGTCAAGAATTACTAGGAATTTCCTCTTGCCTCCATGAGAGAGGGCCTTAAAGCTTTCACGAAGCTTATGAGCTCTTGCATCTTTAGTGGATTCTATTAGCTCTAAGCCGAGGTAATCTGCAATAGACTGTTGAATAGCAAAGAGGTCCATCTTTAACCCTAAAACTGTCCGGACAATAAAATGGAACATTTTCTTATCTTCCACAACCTTCTTCAACTGTTCCATCATTACCGTCTTCCCCACTCCACCCATCCCCAATAAGGCTATCATGTGGGATGTGTGGCTTGGTCCGAGTGCTTTTAGTGCATTCGTAAAAATCTCCTCTCTTGATTGGAATTCATTGTGATCACTGGACTTGGATGCTTTCATAAAATCAACTTTTCCCAGAGGAAGTGGTACATCACTCCATAACATCAGAGATTTTTGTCTTAAGAGACTTTCAATCTCCTCAATTATCTTGAAGGCTTTCTTTCCAAGCTTATGCCTATTCAAGAGATTGAGAGAATTGCCAACATCAGCAGGAATGGTATCCACCTTTGCATTAATCTTATCTACTTCTTCCAACCAACCCACGACTTCGGCTGGAACCTCAAGACGACTTCTTCTATTCCGATTCATGTGCTGTTCTACATCTATTCTTGTATCATTCAACATCATCATTTTGGTATGCAAGTCCATCAAATATTTTTTGTACGAAATGAGATAGGCCAGATGTTTCGTGGCTGGAACCATGCCATCAGGTTTAATCATGGCACTATCCATTGCTCAGTATTCTTACTTTGCTAGCACCTACATATAGTAGCCAACAAGTTTTTAAACAAAATTCAGTAGAAATCTAAAATGGAGCAATTACAAGGATGATGTAATTTGTAGAAAGAGACCACCACCATGGTATAAAAATAAATTTGAAGATCAAGTTTTGACAATCAAAATCAAGAAAATGGTTTTTCACTGGTTATTAATATAACAGTAAACATATGATTAACTTTTGACAATTTAAAACATGATAATGGTAATAGAAATCAAGAAAACGGTTTTTCATTGATTATTTATATAGAACACCAAAATCTGATTAACGTGTTGAGTTAGGGGAGCGATTGGATAATGTTATTCTGTTGCAGCCTTGTTTTGTTTTTGGAACGAAAAATCCATTTATTTGCAACTTATCTAAGAGCATTTTATATAGATTCTACTGTTTCGGAACAAATATGAGTGTTAGTGTGATAAAACTAAGATTAACCTTAAAATAGAGATAACAAACATGTTATATATTAAATATCTATAAAAAAATGTGCAGGTGTCAACGTTTTCGCAGTCAACTATTCCTCAGACCCCAGCCCATGCTTCTTTTAACCAAAATAAATAAATAAATAAAAGGGAGAGAGATTTGTCATTGATTGCAAACAATGATATTAAACTAGTAGGATAGCCCTGCAATCATATATGACACTATTTCTAGAAATGCAAGGGACATTTTGTAATTTTTCAATTAAATATTGACCATTTCTGTAATTTTTTAAAACATAAGGACCATTTCTGTAATTTTAAGAAACAGGACAATGTTTTTAAAAGTGCTAGTATTAGATAATAGCTAGGGACTATTTCTGAAAATTCTATATTAAAAAGGGGCCATTCCTGTAATTTAGGTGCAATTTTATGTTAGGCACAAGTTAACAATATTACTTTGTGAATAAACCAGAAATCTGAAAAATAGTTCTTGCTATTGAAACAGTGAAACACTAACAACACTATAACACGAAACAAAACAACTAAAAAGCCCTTTTCTGCATATATCTAACACTAACACTCCCTCTCAAAATGCATTGAACTCTGGAACACGGGAATAAGGTGTTTAGGATAGCTTTTAAAACAACTTTTGTCTTTTAACTTTTTCAAAAAGTTAAAAAATGGCTAAAAGATGTTTGGGTAATGCAAAAGATCTTTAAAAAAAACTTTTTGTGTAGGAGGAAAAGTTAGTGTTTCAAAAGTCACAAAATCATATCTTTTTGTGACTTTTAACATGAAAAGATGATTTTTATCCCAAAAGCAAATACAAACACATTTTTAAAGACTATCTTTTGAAAAAAGTCACCAGCCAAAAAGTCCTTTTACAAAAAAGACTTTTAACATCAAAAATTAATCCAAACACCCCATAAGACTGGAACTGGAACAACTAGGGAACGGGACTGAAAAGGAACAGGAATCAGGAACAGATCTGAACAAGAATCAGGAAACGGGAACGAGATTTGTAAAGAAAACCGCGCCGGGGGTTGCTAGGGTGCCGGCGAAGTCGACGGATTGGCTTAGGGTTATAGAGAGATACCGGAGAAATTTTTGGTGACAGATCTGGTTTGGGCTCCGTCAATGAGACCTAGAAACAAGATTTGGAACCATTTAGAGTACCGATGGCGGCGGCTGTTCTGGCCTGTTTCCGGCAGAAGTTCTTTGGGTCTGGGGTTCTACTGACAAAGGTTTTTTTGTAAACAGGTGCTGATTTCAGGAGCTCCAAGTTCCGGGGTGAAAGATTGGTATTGATAAACAGGTTAATGCCTCATGTTATATACAGGAAACAAAATTAAATCAACTAAAAAGCATCTGATCACTTTGTTACATGTATCTAACACTAAAAAACTTTAAGCTTCAAATTAGACAAATTAATTTTGACGTCACCAATGTTGACAAAAGTTAAAAAACATATTAGCTTTTGGTGTTTTAGAAATGTGAACACAGGAAATTAGCATTTAACCCTTTTTAACATCTCTCTAATCATCTGGGTTTTATTTGAAAAAACACTGAGAAGTTATAAATCAAACTTCAAAGATCCAAGCCACTGTACTTGTAAATACGCACATAACAATCAGTTAATAACCACACTAATAATCACAAAAATCATATCTATTACTGAATATAAAACCGAAAGAACATTACAGATAGTTGAGCGCTTGAATCAGCTGAAACGACAGCAGGAGCTGAATCTAAGAGGACGGTGTGTTGTACTTCTTGAAGAGGAACGATGAGCTCATACTTATTTTTTCCTAAAGTTTTACATTAGCCCCTTGACTTTTCAACAAACGCTCTTCACCACCAACAGTTTTTAGTATTTATTTATTTTACCCTTCAAAAAGAATAATTTCACCAACTGGATTCTAGCTAACATTTGAGGACAAGATTGGAAATAAATGGCTATCAAACAATTTCACTTTTTTTTTTGTTGAACCGGCAAATATAATATATAATCTACTTCTAAACTAACACATACATCCACCACCTACGTACACGACGGGACTTGAACCCTCGACCTCAAGGAAGGAGGGCATCATCGGGCTAGAAGTCTTTGGTAACAATTTCACTTGTTGGGTTGGTAGGGATGTTATTATTTCTATGGGGAGGGATCGAACCTAGGTTTTTAGGTGTTATAGCATACTGTCCTTTGGATGTTACTGCGTGTTGTAACAAAATCACTATTAAAAAAAAAATACAATTTACCGGTGCATCCTAGTTTGGGTATGTCACATAAAAGGAAGTTTTTGTATGAATGATGATTGATGATGTTATGGAATAAGCTCAAAAATATTATTATTGTAGTTTTTAAAAACTTTTTTCATCTTACATTTAAAAAATACGAATTGATTTTCAGAAAAATAAATAAGAATCTCTAAACATCCACAATTCTCTTCTTCACATTTTATATACCTCAAAAAAAAGTTATTATTATTGATCAGCAACAAACCTCGTATTTTTAATTTTTTTATAGCATAATAGGTTATTAATATTGATTAGCAACAAACGTATTTGCAGATTAAATCCAATTTTTCAAAAATCGATGTGGCTTTATCCTCATGTTTTCAAAAGTTGCACGTGTGATCTCTAAGACTAACTCTTGCCTCTCGCAACTCCAACTACTATAAGCTCTCTCTCTCTCTCTCTCTCTCTCTCTCTCTCTCTCTCTGGTTTCGTATTTCTGATAAGTTTCTAATTTTTACGGTGATTTTTTCTAGTTTTGTATTTCAAAGTTTTTTTATTTTCCAAAGGAGGTTATAAGACGTTGAGTTTACTGATTTTCTGATCACCTTTTCTAAGTTCGTTTTTTGACAATGGATGGGTGTTAGTGATGGGTTATAGTAACAATTGGTAAAAATTGGTCAGAGTTCAACGGTCAAACCACTGCAAAAATATATTAAGGATTAATTGTGTGTGTGATTTTATGTTATAACGTATATTAAAGATATTATATTCATAATTACTCTAAAAAAATCTCAATCTGCTCAACAAACCATCTATTGTTGAGGATCAAATCTAAAATCACCAAAAAAATAATTCTATTTGTGATGTTAAAAATAAAATTTTGCATTAAGTATACTTGAGAGCTATGTATAAGAAATTTGAATAGATTATGTTCTCCTGATTTTGTGGATATAAAGAACATCCAAAACGGAAATCGTATGAAAAAGTTACGCCTCTTTAAATTTATAAAAATCAATATTTATCTGATTCTTCTTAAACGAACCGTGCATTGCTTCATTTGGAATAGCTACAAACCTCGTAAATCACTTTTGAACACATTTTTTAACTCCGACTATGGTCTATTATTTTATTATATTTTTATCACATTTTTAATCTCGACCAAAATCAGATTCGTAAAATCTGTCGAATCCGGAGCAATTAATTGTGAAACTTTAAACGCTTTTTCCCGGAGTTTGGTATATCCGAATTGAATTCCGTCTATGTGTTTCTGGAATCACAACAACCATGACTTTGAACAGACTTTGAACAAGCACTTTTCCGAAAATTTTCATGAAACGATATGCGGATACGAGAATTGAGAAACAAGATTTATATTACACATGTGTATATCCACTAAGATTTGATAAGCACTAGGTTATTCAAGTGGAGATCTAGGGAGTACACCAAATGGATCATCTCACATTCTTTGTTTCTTCACTCACGAATTATGTAACACCCCGTTCCTGGTACACATTTAATTCATTTATTTATCCATATTTGTAAGAGCTACTCGACGAGTTGGTAGCCCTAACTCGTCGAGTAGATGACTGTTTGGACGCGGGGTTTAAATGACCTACTCGACGAGTCGAGAGCTTGACTCGGCGAGTAGGGCTGCCAGGAGGAAACCCTATTTTCGTGGTTTTGCACCTTATTTAAGCCACATAACCCACTCTTGGGCCTCCCTTACCAGCCTCCATGTCCTCCAAAAACCCTAAATCGTTGTGAGCTTCCTTTTTTAGAGATCCTTGAAGTTTTGGATGATATTTGTGATATAAAAAGGTGTTGGAAGAGCTTGGAGCTATTAAGCTTGTGGAGAAGATCAAGATTTGGGATTTCAACCATCTTTGGCAACCTTTTGAGGTAAAAAGCTCCTAACTTGATGAACCATAGCTTAGATCTATTCTAGTGTTGATTTTTGGGTCTTTTTGCCTCCTTTGAGAAGAATAAGACGCCCTCCATGGACTGTATGCCAAGCATTCCCTCTCTTCTGAGATTTTGGCCTCTTGAGTTATAAAAGAGGTCTTGAACCCGTTTTGGTCCAAGTAGTGACCATGTTCATGAAAGTAGGTTGCTAAAACTTAAGTTTGGGTCCATTTGAGGTATGCAAAGCCATCAGGCCAGCAACTTTATAGATTTGGGTCTTGAGAGCAGTTAGGATCTGTAATTTGGAACTTTGGATTTGAGAAAATGGCTTTTTGGATTAGATCTGCAAGGGACTCGGCGAGTCCGGTCGAAGAGTCCCTTGATGTTCATGGAACTCGTCGAGTTGGCAAGGAACTCGACGAGTTGGATCATTTTTGTCCTGTTCTGAATATGCTAGAACTCGTTGAGTCTGAGGATGGCTCGACGAGTTAGTTCGTGCAGTCGCGATGTTAAGTAGCCAGGGAACTCGGCGAGTCACAGGGCGACTCGGCGAGTTGAGTCGCGATTCTAGGGTTTCTGAGTTATAGAACTCGGCGAATCGATGTGTTGACTCGGCGAGTTGGGTCAACCCAGAAGGTTGACTTTGACCAGGGCGTTGACTTTGACTAGGGGTAAAATGGTCATTTTACCCTAAGCAAGATTGTAAGATTTCTGACTGAGTATTATTATATAGTGATAGCCGGGGGTCGTGGGAGCAGCCAGCAGGGATTCCTCACTCAAGTTTTCAACAGTCGGCTTTGCGAGGTGAGTTTCCTCTAGTAGGACGGGTCTACGGCACCAAGGCCGGCCCGTATATGCTGTATGTATGCTAGTAGTTGAGTGTGGGCGGGGCCCGTATCTCACAGTATTAGTTGAGTATGAATTTAGGATTGATTATTAGCTGTAGATATACTTTTTGTCTGTGTGATACTTGTATGCATGTTAGTAGATGAGTGTGGGTGGGGCCCGTATCTCACAGTAGCTGAGTGTGGGCGGGGCCCGTATCTCACAGTAGCCGAGTATGGGCGGGGCCCGTATCTCGTAGCACGGAGTGTGGACGGGGCACGTATCTCCAAGTAGCGTGTGACATCCCCAAAATCACGGTCAGAAAAGACCGATTTTATTTATGCTTTTAAAATATATTCAGAGTAATCCTTTGATTAAAACAGTTGCGGAATTTGTTCCCAAAAAAAATATGATAAAATAAAATTTATCAAAGCATTTCATTAAGAAATGTATTTTCATTATATAACAAAACTCGGGATGTCATGTTCCGATACAGACCAAAAGCATAAACAGCACAAGATAGACCTCACAACAGTTACATATAACTACTGGTCTAAAATCAAAATATCTTGATAAGTCATCCAACTTAAGCTCCCGCGCCACTACCTGTAATACAAACAAAACTGAGTGGGACAGGCTTGGGAGCCTGGTGAGCATATAGGGTTTTCAACCCACAATAAATAATTTTATTTAGTTCATCAAATAATCAATAACCCGATTACCCATTCCCGTTATCCTCACTTTCTGTCCCTAAAACAACTATCACAAGGGACCTAGTCTAAGGATTTTCATCGGGATGGACATTACTGCGAAGGGGTTTCCTCCACAATAAATGTCCTAAAGGCAACCATGAGGGAGATAGAGTACACCGGTGAACACATCATTCACAAACACCTAGAGGTTATGAGCCTGCTAGCGTTCCACTGGACTGTCTAGAAAGAGTCTGTGGTCGTCATCCATACTCCGCTAGATGACTAGATCAACAACAACATCGAGGCCTATCATCATTTTATCACACATCAGCTATCTACCCATGTTTTACCCCAACATTTTCGTAGATAATATATATATATATATATATATATATATATATATACAATTTAAAACTTGTATAAAACCCTTATTGTAACGCCCCGTTTCTGGTACGTATTTAATTCATTAAATGTCATTTTTATAAGATCTACTCGACGAGTTGTAGCCCTGACTCATCGAGTAGATGCCAGGTTTGGACGCGGGTTTAAGTGATCTACTCGGCGAGTCCACGTCTTGACTCGACGAGTAGGCCAGTCTGGGAGAAACCCTAATATTTAGGGTTTGCACCCTATTTAAGCAACATCATAGGCCTTTTGTTCAGCCTCCATCACCTCCAGAGCAGTACTCCCGAAACCCTAACCCTCCATAAGTGAACTTGAGCTTTCTTTGTGATTTTCAGAGTTATTTGGTGTAGTTGAAGCTTGTGGGAAGAAGAGGAAGAAGGAGGACTTCAAGAGGAGATTGTAGATCCAAGAACATCATCAGCTTCTCTTCACTTTCTGGTAATCAAGCTTCATACTTGACTTGTAGTTTCTTAGATCTCCTTGTGGTCATATTTATGAGGTTTTGGGTCCAAGGAGCTTGACCTTTGAGACTTGGACGTCCCAAGTCGATTTGCACTCAGATCTGCAACCTTAGAGGGTCCTCATGGCATAAAGGTGCCATCTTTATGGCCATGAGAACCCCAAATAAGAAATAAACCTCATTTGTGGTCTTTTGAGCATAAAAGTCCCATGCACGAACGTAAAGTTCATGACTTTACGTGCTATATCGATCTTAGGAGCCTAGATCTACCTTCTGGATGAGATTTTGCACATCAGAAGTCGAGTTTTAGACTTGGACATGCATAGACTCGACGAGTAGTTCTTGGGACTCGGCGAGTCGGGGGGGTTGATTCCCAAAACTGTTATGATTC